GTATTTTAGTAAAATAACATGAGGATAGTTCATATGTATTGTAGTAAAATAACATGAGGATAGTTCATATGTATTGTAGTAAAATAATGATAATAGTTCAAGTGCATTATAGTAAAATAACAATGATAGTTAAAGTGTATTGTAGTAAAATAACGATAATAGTTAAAGTGTATTGTAGTAAAATAATAATGATAGTTAAAGTGTATTCTAGTAAAATAACTATAATATTGAACTATTATCGTTATTTTACTATAATACACTTTAACTATTCTCATGTTATTTTACTAGAATACACTTTAACTATTATCATTATTTTACTACAATACATATGAACTATCCTCATGTTATTTTACTAAAATACACTTGAACTATTATCGTTATTTTACTATAATACACTTTAACTATTCTCATGTTATTTTACTAGAATACACTTTAACTATTATCATTATTTTACTACAATACATTTGAAGTATGCTCGTGTTATTTTACTGGAATACATTTTAACTATCCTCATGTTACTTTACTAGAATACACTCTAAGTACCTTATCTTCCATCTTGTATATTAACACTTACTATTTCTGCCTCTTTTGTTCCATGTCGGATGTTGTCGTTCATACAAATAAATTTTCTGGTAAAGAATATAAAAATATTGATTAGAGAACAACAATCTTATAAATATGCTCATTTAGTGACCTTTGTACTGATGAATTCATAAATATATGCACAAGCAGACAAGAGGATTAATATTCATTAATTTACCATGCAATTTGCTGATCTGACTCCATTTATTATAAGTTTACTAGATAAACAACTATTAGTTTGCATTACATACGTAGGATTTTTCCGAACTTGGTCGATCTGGCCAATAACTTCTGACAAATTGGATCCAATCATTTTGAATGTAACTTCTTCCTCTCCCATCACTTCAAAGTCATACTTCTGTTTTGATCCAAACACATTCTTCAGCAACTCAGCTATTGGTGGACATGCCTCAATTAAGTACTGGGAGACTGTTGGCTAAAGCAGTGTAAAACTTTATTAAACTTCGGATTCTTCTTCTCATCCCTCATAGCAATATTTAATAGTCACGGTGTTAATC